TTATATGAATAAATATGAGTCGAATATGCACATATTTATACCCCCCTGACACAATAGTGAGTTTTACTGTTTTCCCTTTGTCCTTCTTCAAGTCTGCTGTCATTTTGTCTTCTGTTTGCTCCTCTTTAACCCCCAACCACAACCACGCTCATTAATGCCTTAAAATGTTGCTGACTATGAAATTGAGAACATAAGCTTTAAATTATCCAACTCTTACCTCGTTCAATGCTTGCTCTATAAGCTTAGGCTGACGTTTGTTATATCTCCCTTTTTCACTGAGCATAAACAGTGACGGCACTCAGACCAAGTAAACCTTGAGCTTAATGTTCTGTGTGGGTGAAGCGGAAAGGAAAATGCTTCTGCTGTCAGAGGGTGACACCTCTGTAGCACCTTATAGTCCAGATTATCCTCTAGTCCTCAGTAATTAAAACACAGAAAGCAGAATCACCATAATCTAAACTAAGAAGGATAACAGATTTATTTATCATTCCTTTTCCTGGATACATGTCATTGTTTTAAATAGAGCTAAAACATTTCATGTTGATTAAATAATTATAGAAATAATCATCAACTAATTGAGTACTTGATTAATTGTTAAAGTAAACAGGCTCTAAGACATGGCATTAGCTGAAACAGTAACCTTCTTAGAGCACTAATTATGCCAAAATTTGAAAAATGATTTATAAACATTTACATTTAAAATGGTACGGGTATAGTTTTAACTTCAGCTGGTTTAAATTCTGTAGTAATTCTTTTATTCATTTAATAAACACAGATTAATCAATTGGCAAAACAATGGTTAGAAGCAGGCCTAGTTTTAAAAAAAGTGGATTAAAAAGGAAACATTTTGCACAACACTTGGCGCAAAATCAAACTGGAGGGAAAATTCAATCTGGAATATAAATAAATATGAATGGCAGTTAATGTTCTGAAGACGATCTTCACCTTTACTGATGTTTGCTATGGCTTCATTATCCATAAAATGGCTTTAGCCTTCACTAGGGTCCGACTCTGGGTTCAGCATAAGTCTGAAATCGAATGGATGCAAATTCTGATAAGAATCAGTCAGATGTTGATCATCCGCCACATTTTTCCCAGCGCCTCCCTTCCTGCGCCTCCTGTGATGTCATGAAGCCAAATAAACACAAAAAATAAGCATTTGTGGTTTGATTTTAGGACCAGTGCTGTGGAAAATAATGCCCTCTCACCCTGCCACGTTTTTCTTCTCTATGACCATTTGTTAGGCTTTAAAGACATCACTAGATGGCGTCTTTAAAGCCTGAAATACTGCAGAACTACACCACCTGACCCGTAATTAGAAGCAGTTGTTTAAAGGCCAACATCTGCAGCCTTGAGCAGATCAATGAGGAGACAATGACCAGAGGAGGAGAACTATGGTGTGTTCTGGTGTGAGAAAGGAAGAACCTGTGTTTTTGAGGCGGAAGTGGCTTTTGACTAATCAGAGCGGAAGGCTGAAGCAAAGAGAGTACAGCGGAGTGTCTGACCATCGCCCTGAAAGAGCCGGCCTCAGCCGCCATCAAGGAAGTGGCTGGCTAGTGTTTGTTGTGAGGGGAGGGGCACTAGCAGAGAGGGAAGGGCAGACTATATCGACCAAAGTGGAACTGCATGCCACACACACACACAAAACACACGCTGAACATACACAAACACCAGGAAGCCCAGCAGAGGAAGGGGGGTGGGGTTGCGTAGGCGGGGCCCGCTCCCTTTCTCTCTCTGTAGGCGTCCAGACGACCTGCTCCGAAGGGAAAATCCTGATGTGGCCAAACAGGCGCTGAAGGGGGGAACTGGAAGCAGGGACAGGAGAGAGGAGGTTTTTAAAGGCTGGACAGGAGAAGAAGATACTATGGAGGAGGAAGAGGAGGAGGCGCTGGGCTACTTGGACAAGGTGCTGGAAGAGGAAGAGGAGGTGTTTGAATACGGAGATGGGGAGCTGGATCCCATCACTCCGGTACATAAGCAGTTCAAGGTGAGGCAGGCGCCGGACAGCAGGACGCAGGAGAAAAAAAACCAAAGCAACCTTGAAAGCTGAAGGCTGTAATTGGAGTCCTCTTATGATGCGGCGTCAATATGTGGCTTTATGTGCTTGTGAGCCATCTGGAGTGTGTGCGGTTGTGTGTGTGTGTGTGTGTGTGAGAGAGAGATGAAGCAGCTTCTCTAGAGCACATGTCTCCTCACTCTGCTGCTCTGTAAACACCTCTGATTTCTGTTGCCCGGACTAACTTCTGCCTCTGCATGCAAACTCCGTTCTGCAGACGAACTGCCCGCCGTCACTCACAATATCAGCTCTGTCATCTCAACCAATGAGTGCAGGGGACTCAAAAGGAAAGTGCAGAAAATCCTTCTGTGAGGAGGGAAAAAATACTTCACTGCTTTCTGGATTTCTCATCCTGGCCTTGCTACACAGTAGCTCTTTGTACATTTTCTTTTTCCTCTTCATTTTTTTTTTTTCCTCTTCCCCCCCAAAAAACTTTCTGAGACATTTTCTAACACTGACATGGCGAACTGAGCACCAGTTTAGCCAGTGGTTAGGTTTCATTGCAAAGCTGAAGGATCTTGCAAAGTATTCACACCCTGTTAAAATTGTTCACATGAAATCACAACAACAAACCTCGGCGTGTTGCACTCTAATTTAATGCAGCAAACCAACACAGAGCAGTGGCTGCTGGTGTGGTAGAATAAAAATAATGAATTTCATTAGAATTTGTACAAGTTAGAATGCATGCTAAAAACAAAAGATGAAAATAATGTACTTCCTTCTTTCCACCTCCATTTCGTCTTCTTAATTCAAATTCTGAGTTAAAAATAAACCGAATGAGTGACAAAATATGCAGTGTAGCATGCATAAATACTTTCACTACAGAGGTGCAATGTAAAAGTCAGTGGGTGGTGGCAGCATCATGCTGTGGGGGGACGACCTTTTCAACAAAAAGTCATGCCCAGTTTTAAAACAATGACGTAGTGAGGTCTTATGTCCAAGAATATCAGCCATGATACAAACCTAGTATCTTACCCCATGTGTCAAGGATCAACATCCAATAATATCACCTCCAGGTTTGATTATTTTCTGTATTTCTTCACAGAGATGTCTGTTAGTTCTATGATAAATCCTCCTCAAAGCTTTAGGACTGTTAGGCCAGCTTCGATTAGCTGCGTCCTTAGAAAAGACTCCTAAATCATTCTTCTTTGTGTAGTCGTCCCCATGTTGATCTTTCCGTCGCTCATCGTTGGCCACGCCCTTTCTCCTCAGAGATAACTTCACCGTCAGTAGCTGAGCTGGATCTGACACGTCGAGCCTGGGTCGGGCCTTATTCCTCGTCTTATCTGGCAGAACTGCTGCGCTGATATCATTCTAAGAATCTGACTGTGTTAATAATTAATTATCCTCTCTGCTCACTGTGTGGATCTATAAAGGTACATATGAGAACAGATTACTAAAACATGCGTTCTCCCTTAGCGTCCTGAGAACCCTGGAAAGGGATGCATAAAGATTTAGATATGGGCTCTAGTGGAAAAAAGTTTCCAAACCGTGAGAGGTTTTGAACTGAATATACCTGGAAGTAAAAGACAACACTGACGGAGTAATGAATGGATAATAAGAGGAAAGGAAAAGTCATAATCGGAAATATTTTTATATTGTGGCCCTAAAGAGGAGTTGGCTTGAAAAAGAGGAAAAAGTGAGGCTAATGCACAAACTAAAAACTCAAAAAAAACTTTATTGCCTGTCAACAACTTCAATCAGACTTTAATAAACAGCTTTAAAAAAAACATTATAAAGATGATTGTTTAGGCTATAAATGCACTTAGAATGCTTGATTTTAAGGCCTGCTGGTTTTTTAGCTGCTATAGTCACCTGGTCATGTTAAATCCCTCATTAAGGGGCTCCATTATTTGAACAAGGTCATTTGGTACCGGGCCGCACAGAAAAAAGTATACATATATATATGTGTGTATATATATATATATATATATATATATANTATATATAATTTATCGACGATTAGAGTCTGAGTGATGTTTTATTTTGAAAAATATAAAAAATTGCGGTATTCTCTCTTAATTGCCTCAGTCGGTGCATCTGTGCCTCTTGACACAGGTAATTTAGTTCAAGACTCATCCTATCTATAACATCCTATCTTTGTGAAGCAGGATTTTCTGCTGTTAGAGCGACCAAAACAAAGCTACGGAGCAGACTGGACATCAGGAGCACAATTTGTGTGTCATTGTCTACGATTAGGCCTAGATTGGACTGGCTTGTTGTTTTATTTTTATGCTGTTTGTATTTGATTTTATGCCAGTAGTATCATTTTACTTGATCGTATTTCCCCCACCCCCCCGGCCAGTCCGTGAAAATATTGTCTGACATATAGCGGTCCGTGGTGCAAAAAAGGTTGGGGACCGCTGTTTTAAAGGATAGTGTCAGCTCTTTGGATCCAATCCTATCATGTTAGAGCCTAGCGGCAGACAGAGATGGGCATTTTTGGAGGTTTGTGTCCTACCATCATAAATGTAAACTGGGAGTGTTACCTGGAAATGGGTGGGGAAATACTTTTTAATTGGTGGGGTCTCTGAAGTTCTAAAAATCTTCTTGACGTGGCATTTAAACCAGCCTTTTTAGGACATTCTTTTCACAACTAGGCCATTCTACAGGATAATAACGAAAATAAAACATTTGGGCCAAATCAACACTGGCATATTTAACCAGACCTAAACTTATTTTTTCTCCCGTGACCATCTGGATTAAAATCCTGTAGCTGAGGAGAGGCCGATTGAGTATTATAACTTTGTTTTTCTTTCGGTTTCATCCCTTAAAGGTTCTGAATTTCATCCCATTTATGTATCTTGATTTCTGTAGTTGTTCCAAGCTGTTAATGAGCTTCATCCTTATGTTATCCTGATGTTGCTGCTCTGGGATCATCTAGGAAATGAGCTGTTTGCTGCATGCATTGTGCACCTTCTTATGTTGTCTGCTGTTTTCTCAGGGCGATGTTGAAAAGGGGCTGGAGATGAAGAAACTGGTCCTGTCTGGATTCCTGGCCAGTGAAGAGATCTACATCAACCAACTGGAAGCCCTCCTGCTGGTAAGAACCATCAGCACATCCCCATACAAAGAAAGAATGACTCAAACAGAGTCATGACCACTGTCACTGCAGCTTCCTGACGCGTCTCCCCAGACTCAAGCCGCGCAATATGTCACTTCCTGTCTTTTTAAAGCTGCATGCTGCACTTTGATCAACCTGTTGTCTTACACACGTTGAATTTAAGATAAAGACTGCTCTACTGTTTAGAAACACAACAGATAATAATCAGGATAGAAGCGGTACAGCAATAAAAGCAGGAGTTTTTTTTTCTTGGGCTTTCAGTAATGTTGGCAGAGGTCTGTCCTGACCAACTTCCTGCTATTTCAGGCCATGATGACAACACGGCGGGACGTTGCACAACTCCCTGTCTGTTTCTGCTCTCCTTTCTTTGCTACGTCTCTGTGTTCCCACAACACATTTTCATCCATGTGTTTTATTCTTGTTCTTTAAAAGGACATATTCAGCAAGTTTTCTTCTTAAAAACCACAGCGACAGACCACTGGCAGAAGTAGTTTCTGTTTGGGACAACATCTAGTGTTTGGTTTTATTGAATAGATTGGTTCCACTGTGACCATGTGTTTTATTTAGGCTGTAAAGTTCAACGATTTACACCATAAAACCACCGTCAGATGTTTTATTTTTGTTCTTTTGTTGTTGTTTTTTTAAAAACACATGACCTGAATGTAATTGGTTTATTTATTTAAATCACTGTGAAATATTATGTATTCATATAACACCAGTTTGGGACTTGTGGGGGGAATAAATCAGATCATGGGTTTATTTAAAATAGTTTCAATGTTTATTTTGAATCAGCCGGATTCTGATTGGTTGATTATCACTGAGCTGTGATAGAAACGGACCCGTCAGAGTTCCAGAAGTAGTTCTGGATTGTATTTCTAGGTTTGAAAACTTAAGATGCTGTAAATGAAGAGGAATGATTGTTTAAGAATGTTGCCTTCATCCCAAGTGATGAATTAGAATCATTTTGGTTAAGTTACCAGTAAATTTCTTACTTTTTCCTCATTAAACTCTGAGATTTTTTCCAAAATAAAAAACACCCAGATAAGCTGTTTAGCTTTCCCTCTACAGGTTGAGAGTCATGTTCTCGTTTGTTCTATAATTAAGCTATAAACTGAGGTGTATTAAAATAAAATCCCTTCTATAGCTTCTTATTTTTCACTTATCAGTCACTGATTTCCTATAACTTCACCCAGCTGCTTTGTTGATGCCTGAAACTTTGATAATTTCACATATCTGTTCTTAAATGTGTGAAAATGAGCAGCTTAACCTCATTTTAACAAGCTTTGATTGTTCTTGTGAAGAGCAGACTTTAGTATCTTATAAACTGGATCACACAGTGAGCCTGCAGCCATCATCAAGGTTGTTTAAAAAATAATCCGTTCTGTTTAATGAATCCTCCCCAAAACCCCTGCAATCAGCAAGACTCTGACTCATCATCAGCCCAAGTGAGCTCTTTCATCTAATCCAGACCCTCATTCCCACCCACCAGAACCACTCTGCACGTTGTCATTAATTGGGTTGGTGTGAAAATTGCTCGCTTAGACACATTGATGCAGAATAACGGCCAGATACAAAGCAGAAATTAGATGTCAGATGGGAAATATTTGCTGTTTTTTCCATTACACGTTTTACACACTTTACACAGCGCCTGCTCGCTGATGGTCTCCATTGATACGATTTCCTCCTTCCTCTGCAGCCAATGCGGCCCCTAAAGGCTGCAGCCACCACCTCCCAGCCCGTCCTGACCATGCAGCAGATAGAGACCATCTTCTACAAAATCCAGGACATCTTCGAGATCCACAAGGAGTTCTACGACGCCCTGCTACCCAGCATCCAGCACTGGGACGAGAAGGTCACCGTGGGGCATCTGTTTCAGAAGCTGGTGGGTCTGACGTCGCCTCAAGAGTCACGCTGCCTTTTCAGTTTTTTTCCTTGATGTCATCCACAGTTGTCAGGCTTCTCACTGTTTGCCAACCAAATTTAGAGAAGTGATTCACTGAGTGGCTGTGCCTGTTTGTGTGTTTTCCTGACATTTGAAGAAACACTGCAGCTTTTAGTCTTAACACTTTTTTTTAAAGCTAAGCAGGATGTTTAGCTATGTGTTGGTTCAGGGCAGTTTGGTTGTCTGCTCACTGAATTTGTGCTTTGAAGTAGCTAAAGTTTGGGTTAAACATAAGAAAACACTTTCAATGGGTTAAAGCTAATGTTATCCTACAAAAGGTATAAAACTAAATGCTCATGTAGACTTTAGAGGTCTAATCATTGGAAATGGTTGAGTTCAGATGACATTTTCAGGAAAACTGGAACCGTGTTATTAGACTTTTAGTTCATACACAGTCTCTCCTACTGAGAGCAAACATGGAAGGTAAATAAAAACCGTTTTGATTTGTTGTTCTGTTTGCATATTTTGACTTAGACCAGTTTCCTGAAGGTTGAACACATCGCTGCTATCTGGGTATGAATTTATCCAGACGTCTCTTCCATCATGAGAGATCCTGTGCCGCTATGCCATCATGGCTGCATTGTTGTTGTGATAAGAGCAGAGGAAGCAGTTCAGCTCAGTTAAGAGTGCAGCATCTATTTTAGACTGACTGAAGCGGTAACCTGATTGTGGCTCAGCTTGCTTCTGATATTTTGCTGTTTCTGTTGGCTGCCGGGTTAGAAACACTTATTAATGATCCCAGATCATACTAACTAAGCAACAGTAATCCCTTAACTGAGATTTCCTTCTTGTCACTCTAAGCTTTACAGTGAAATGACTGAGGGTGAGCGGAGCTTTCTAAGAACCTTCTGGGTTGAAGGATAACCTCAGAAGTCACCTTATTGGTTAAAAGCAGTCAGCCTGTGTGTAATGCTATGAAATGAGGAGATAACACCATCATGATCTATGGTTTTTCTAGAGGAGTTTAAGAGATTCACACCTCAGTGGGGGTGATCTGTTTACTGAATTTAACTTAATTCTACTTGAAATTAATGCTAAATAAAAGTAATACTGAACTAATGTTATTTTCTTACAAAAATAAGGTGCCTTCAACTCTCCCTTCGATCACCACAGTACAGGGATCGCCAGTTGATTTTGTATCATCTTATAAATATCTTGGCATTATTTTAAATAAAAGTGTAACATTTATAGCCTGGGTGCCATTCCGAACTTAGTCCCGCCCACAACGTTTAAGGTCGGTAAGTTCGGTCTGGCATTGCTCAATAGTAGCGCAAGTATGCTCGCACAATATCTGGCGGGCCAATCAAATTGTCAGGGCGGGCTTTATACGATGATGGACAGATGATCAACAGTAACGTAATCAACCACGTCACCAAAGCGCGCTTGGGTGACAACAATAATGGCTGCCGCTGGAGAGTTGAGGTGTGTAGATTCTGCTATTAGGTCTGTTCTAGAAGATATCGACAGCAAATTAATTTTCAAAGAGGAACAGAGAAACGCGATCAAGGCTCATCTTCTTATTATAGGCGTGCAACTGCACGCTTTGAGTTTTGTTAACAACAACTATGCCTCGCTTAACATACGTCACGCACTCCGTTGCTCTTATTGGTTGTAGGTCTATCCAATTGAATGCAGAGGCATTTTTTTTCCTGGTTCGTTCGAAACACGCCCCATAATCACAGCTCTATGGAGCAGTATCAGACTCATATTCTGAATAGATTTGAGTAGGACTACGTCAGGCTAGAACATTTAAGCCCCACATTGAAAACCTGCTTAAAAGCTTAAGCTATTTATTTTAATTATTATATTTTTTTCTAAATAAATCTTGTTTCTAATACAATGCCGAGAAACAACTGGTTTTTATCACTTTCATCAGCCATGCAGACTCCCACACTGGTACACATTCATTTACAAATCCATTCCAATCAGTTACCACCTTATTTACCTTTTTGAGATGTTTAGAAAAAAAAACAACATTTATATGCACTTGCACCCATTTTTAATGATTTTTGTAATATATTTATTTTCAAATTTTTGTTTTTTTTTTATACCGTGTATTGTTTTCTAAAACATGAGACACTAAGTCTTCAGAGATTTTTCCTGTCTACATAAAGGATTAAATAAATTAATAAAGTAAAATAGCCATTAGTTGGGTCATAACACAAACCGGCTGAGTATGGGCAGGAGCTTGTTTTAAGAAAGCCGGAGGAATTGTTATTTACCATTCAGGACAAACTATGTAGATGTGGATGAACGTCGGATGTTATTTTTAAAACTACATGCAACACGTGGCGAAAAAGTAGCATTGTGCTTCACTCTGAACACATCATGATACCACCACCACCGCAGGTGGTGGTGGTATCATGCTGTGGGGAAGCTTTTAGTAAGCTGTAGCAGGGAAGCTGGTCAGAGGCTTTGGAAAGAAGGATGGAGCTGAAGTCTTGACTGGGGCAGAAATTAACCTTCCAGCTGGAAAATCACCCCGTATGTAGTCGATACCACATCAACAGTGTTTATTTTGTCATGCTTGAATGGAAAAAGATGGATATTCCTCACAAGACTTGGAACAATTCTCATCACATTTCAACTTCATACTGTAAATGTTGTTGTTGTTGTTTTTTTTTTTGGTCTACCTATCCATCCATTTTCCAACACGCTTCTCCCTACTGGGGTCGCCTGGGCTGCTGGTGCCTATCTCCAGCTGATAATGGGTGAGAGGCAGGTTCCACCCTGGACAGCTGGCCAGGCCATCACAGGGCAACACAGAGACAAACAGGACAAACAACCATTCACACACACACTCACATCTAAGGAGAATTTAAAGCCAATTACCGTAAGAGTACCCGGAGAGAACCCAAGCATGCACAGGGAGAACATGCAAACTCCATGCAGAAAGAATCCGAGCCGCAAATCGAACCCCGAACCTTGTTGTGCTACCCACTGCCCCACTTTGCAGCCCGGTGTAAGACCTAAATCTCCCTTAAACCTTTTAAAGTTTGCAGCTGCGATGTGAAAAAATATAAAAATTCAGAGCGTGAAGACACCTGACTAGAACGATGCGTTGCAATTTTGAATGACACAATTAAAGAAATAGGACAGTTACTGCAGACCAAACCACCGTAGTTTTTAACATTTCACTTTAAATTCAGGAGACGTCAATAATTCAATTCAGTTTGTTAAAGCTGTGAATAAAGCGCCAATTCACAACACATTATCTCAAGGTGCTTTACAGAGACAATTCAACCAGATCGTACAGTCAGATTGGTTCAAAGTTTTATATCTTATGGAAAACCAGTTGATTGCATCAACTAATTGACTCAACAGCAATCCCTCACAATAATGGTTACACTGTATGTATGAAGTGCAACCACAATTATTGGTTTTAAGCCACATTAAAATACTTTAAAGGATCAGTGCTTCATTGCAGCAGCTCCTTGTTAATAATGCATTAATAATGTTAAGTATTAATCAAGGCTTTGTTAATGGTACTTATAACTGAAACATTATTTAATTTTTGCTTTACTTTTTTTAGCTGGTTACTATCAACCTGTAGCAGGTAATCCATTATGAAGAGACCCCTGTCTGTTAGCTATTGCCCCCCCCTGCTGAACCTGATTCTGTAAGGGAGGTGAAAAGAAATGTTTTAAGTTGCTGTTGGAGAACTGCTGAAAAAAGTAACATCTTGGGGCTGATGAGGGGAAATATCACTGGATCCCATTTATACGCCAGTTATCTAACAAACCCTCAAAGTGAAAACGGGCCCGAAGTCTTTCTGTCCTACCATCACAAATTGTTATAAATCAGGGTTGGTCAAATTCAACTGGGATTTGGTCAGATTAAACTAAATGATGTAACAATGGTAATTAAAGGTGCCCCTCACATCTCTATAAACGCACATCAGTCGCTTCAGTGCGCTCCTGAACGCTCCCCTAAATGGTTACATGTAGATTAATTGCTCTGGTTGCTGAAACAGTGTTGGGTGTAAATGCAGCATTAAAAATAAATTTAGTGTAATATTACTGATAAGATACTTCCTTAAAATCTAAAAGCTACTAAAAATGTTATATCAATAACAAATTAAACAAATCTATCCGAATTTGGAGTTTGGGCTGAATAAAACAAGAGTGACTTGTAAATCTATGACTTATAGATCACTCTTCTAAAGAAATTTGACTAATTTGAGTGTTTCTTTAAAATATTGTGTGTTTATATAAATATTAAGCAGATAAAAAAAAAATATTAATATACTGTCCTTTAAACCACGTTTTTGACACCATGGCAAAAAGTTTAGACAACCCTGTTCAAGAGAGTCTGAACTAAGAGAATCCTTCAATATAATCTTATAAAATGTTTAGACTGCATTGATAACGTTAATTTATGTGACATTTTCCCCCAGTAGAGACATGTTCTCAAATTAAAGGCTACATGTTTATAAGCCTTCTCAATGTGGGAGTGCTTTTCCCATGAAAGAGGAACTTGGGCTTTTTACAACCAAATGACAAATATACCAAAAACCCCATGCCCTGTCCATATCTGTTAAAGAAAAAAAAAAATGTATTTAACTCATTAAATAATATCCCAGGCAGACCAACCCAAAATATGTGTGACTAAACGCAGTGTTTATTAAAAATGAGCTGATGTTTAACATCAGACCAGGTGGTACAATAACTAGAAACTTTCAGAGTTTCCCTTTAATGACTCTCCTCCGTTGGGATCACAGTCACACTAGCAACATTCAGCCATTACTGTAGTCATCAGCTCCCATCTGTGCTGTTTAAATGTGCGTAGATGAACATGCTGTGCGACAGTAAAACATTTAGTCAGGGCGGCAATGTGAGAGTACAGATGGAAGCTTAATTAGCTGCTATACACCCTGCTGCTCCTCGTCAGCAACACGGTGTCCACCGGAGCAAGATTTCAAGGAGAAAACGCAAAGAAGGGAGAAAAGACCGCTTTAGCTCCCAGTTTTTATCAGTTACTTTGTTGGATATGTTCAATGTACTCTTTTTTTTTTTTGTTTTTCTGCCTAGTAGTTTAAATGATGAGTTTTCTCAAATGCACAGGCCTTAATGCAATGAAGCTCTTAGTGTAACATGAAGGATGTGACGGCTGCATCCAATTGTTTTTTGTTTGTTTTTTTTTCAGATACAACAAACAGGGATTTTAAGCAGGAAAAAAAAAGGTCTAATCTGCAGCTAACCGTTTTAGTCAGTTTCACTTTAAGAACGTAAACAACAACAAACTTCCCAACTGCATAAAATAAAAATTGCGTTTTTTTTAACAGGGTTTTATAAAATCAGATCATGACCAGCCCAGAGATTTCGTTTCTTTGTTTTTATTTTAAGGTTCTGCATCAATGGAAATCTACAAATTCTGTCAAAATTTCTATTAAGCAACAGTAGAATTTATACGAAGAGGAAAATAGGATCTCCTAAATAAATTAGAATATCGCACACACTCTGTGCCCTAAAATGTTAAGCATTCCACAGTGAAAAGTTTCTACTGTTAATGATTTATGTTTTAGCCAAGAAATAAAATAACCTAGTCGGCATTCAAAAGGAGATGGGATAATTTCACAGCTAAGTTTTAACTTTTTTAAATTCACCATCAATTGATCCCTGAGTTTAGCTAGTGTTTGTGTGATAATGATAGAGAAGCACTCTGGTTTGCCTGTACTATCAAAGCAGCATCTATTCAAATGTTTGGTTTTTTTTCAACCAAAGGGTTGTTAGATTTGATCTTTATTCTATCATTATTAAAGAGATTTGTAAATACACCTTACTGACTTATTAACTGTATATATGCAGATCTCTCGTGCCTAGAAACAGATTTGCACCAATCAAATAAGTCTGAACTAGAAGTCAGACCAATCAAAGTGTCATTGGTTCATATGTGCTTCATCCTGCAAGGTCTAACATGATTTTTCAAAAAAAAAGAAAGTAAAAATAAAATCTAGCACAATGTTGAAGAGGAAATCATGGTCCGGCATAGCTCCAGCCCTCAGATTCCCTCTCCAACCAAAGTTTGACCTGTTGTGTGAAGAAGTGTTGTTGTTTTCTTTCTAGCGCTGCCTGTTTCCTTCCATCCTGGACGTTTTTTATCACTGTGTGCTCCGTCAACATGTGGCACAGAGAGAATGGTGACTTTAACACGAGCTTGGCCTTCTCACTCTGTCTATATTTGGGAATGCAGTGATCACACATGGTGGTTTCTGTTCTCCTTCCAATGTTGTGCAAATCTGTCTAGTTAATAGTGAGAAGTCATGTGGACAGAATTCCTTTTTTATGGACATCATTTCTGTTTTTTACTAAGAAGGACCAAAGTTTTCTGATAGAAAAGAGTGAAGTAATTACAAGGAAAACGTAAGCTGGTCTATGTTTTCTAGTTGGTGTGTGTTTAGTTAGTTCCCTGCAGGGACTAAGCTTTGCAGAACTCTGTTTTTGTTGCTGTCACAATTACAGGTTTTTGTGTTTTATCTCTTCTAAGTTTGAATATCCAAAATGGACAGTTTTACTCTGCTGTTTAACTCTAGTTCAGGCAGACTGGATGACTGGACTAGTGTTAAAGTCTTAAACCAGGTCATTTCAGCTGTGGCTGAGAACCACAACCCAATCTTAGGTCTTTTATTTATTCATCCAGATTTGTGTTGTGTTTCGCTCCTTTCACCTCTGGGTTTCTTGTCTTAAACTCTGACCAGTTTTTCCATCTTTGCCTAATAAAACTCATAACAGGACAGCTTTCGATTATTCCATGAATCTGGTTTATTATTCTTTACCTTCTTGGTGTCATTTTCAGTTCTTATTTTATCCCTTTCCTTCGCCATTTTTTTATTTTCATTTTGTCAGTTTCTGACATATAAAACCCAGTGAAATCCTTTGAAGGCTGTGGTTACATAGTGAAATGAAAACATCAAAGGGAGAAAAAAATCCTAAGGCTCTGTATCTGTAGAAATCCTGAAAACTGCAACATGAGAGGTGAAGAGAAATGGAGACGTTTAGACATGGACTTCAGGAACAAATGGTTGCTGGTTCAATCTGTTCAGCTTAATCCACTGTCATTGCTCTAAAAGGATCCAGTCAACTCCTTACCTTCTGCATTCAAGCCCAGCTGTTGCAGAGTACATGTGTAGCCTGTGCTACTATTCACTCACAGGGCAGCAGAGTGGGTCTGTTAATGGATGGAAGGGGAGGAGAAAGATGGTTGCTCTTTCAGTGAAGATGAATGCTTATTTCCACCTGTGATTAGAATAATAGTCTGTTTCTGTCTCAGCAGGTTTCTTAATACTCCTCTGCCTTTGTTTTTGTCTCTCATGTTTTAGGCTAGCCAGCTGGGAGTTTACAAGGCCTTTGTGGACAACTATAAGAACGCTCTGGAGACGGTGGAGAAGTCTAGCCAAGCCAACATCCAGTTCCAGAAGATATGTGAGGTCAGTTTTTCCTTCCTGGTAGGACGATCAGGAGTCAAACACAAAGCTGCAAATGAGCAGCAATCCATCGGCTGGTGTCCTGAAGTTTGTTTTAAAGACTGCTTTTCCTCCAGCATAAATTAGACCGTAAACTTGTTAGTTTCTCTCGGCTGCCGTAAATCCTCCTGCATTAATAAATGTGGACAACAAAGAAGGGAAGCAAATAAATCTGAAAGAAATTTTTTTGATTCAGAGAGCAGCTGTGTTTATGGGGAAATGTGGGTTTTATTATGAGGAACAGAAGTTAAGCAGAGTGAAGGTCATATAGTCAGCCTTTTAAACTAAGCCCACGTGTTGATACATGAAGGACTCCTACAGCTGCAGCCTTCAGCTAACTCCTGTCTTCCTCCTGCTGATAGTTTATCTAGAGCCTGTTTTTGGTAGATAATTTAATTTAGATTTGACTTATTGATAATTCAGGCTTTAACCCTTTCATTTATACTTCTGAGCTCTACCTTAAGTGCAGTTAAAACAAGTTCATCTTGTGTCATGGTCACTAAAGTTTCTGCTAGAGTTACAGAAAAGTCTTTTTACTTGGCTCTTTACCCTGAAAAGCTTATACAAGTAATTGGTTAAGCCGTATCTCCAAACACCCAGTCTTATGCTACGTTCAGACCGCACGCAGCAGAAGCAGCAAGAACTTCTTCACTTTTGATGCTTGTACAAGTTTAGTTCTGAAGCGCAGTTGAAGCATATTTGCTGCTCTACCTGCGCGGTCAAAAAGTTTGGCTGACACGCGTTGGGAGGAGCTACCCTATCCTTTCTTTGCCTCTAACAATGGCGGATGAATTCTAGAGAGTGGCTTGGCTTATTTTAATGAATAATGCTACGTCCAGACCGCAAGCAATGGAAGCAGCAAAAAAGCTTCTGCTGATTCATTTTTGATGCTGCTCCACATTAGGGTCGGATGACCATTGAAGTGTGTCCAGATGCGTCTGATGCTTCTGTGTTCAATAGCAGAGATTCCGAAAGTCCACCTGAAAACTTCATCTGTGCAGTCAGTTTATCAAGATTATAATCCTGCCTCAAATATAATGCTCAGACTCCCGGAACATTGGCGTTGCAATGTGACTTAGAATCCCGTTCAACAGTAGCCTTCGGCCCGGTCGCCTCGTCTGGGTTTTCCGCTACTGTTCGCGTCAGCTGGAAGGTGGTGTAAGCGTTTTTCATGTACGCAATCCAAACTCCAGGCACCAGAATAATAAAGTTGAACATATTTTGCCAGCAGGTTTCATTGTTTTAAGTTAATTTAGAGGTTAATAAACTCTTTCAGAGGAGTGATCATAGGGATCTGCATCAGCAGATCCCTATGATCTGTTTCCCTGCCAGATCCCTATGATCTGTTTCCCTGTCTGTTTCCCTGCTAGCTCCCAGATCACCTTCTCTGATTAGTTGATGTGGCACGTCGAGCAGCAAAAAATCCAGCTCCAGCATCTGCTGCTTTTTGCACTGCGTCTCGTGTGACAGATGTTTAGAAGTTCTTTACCACTGCTTCAGCTACTCCTGCTGCTTAAAAACACGCTGCTGAACCTTTTGCTGCGCCAAGATGCGCTTCAACCATTGACTTTGCATGCAAAGTAGCTGCTTCTGCCGCATCTGCAGCGTGCAGTCTGATCATAGCATAAGACAGCACCATGCCTCTGTCATTCTTAAGCCCTGAACACACCGAACATGAGTTAGCGTTCAATGCGACGGAAAATCGTGTTGTAACACGTAATGGCGCTTAGCACTTACTGACTGTGAACATGATTTTCTACAAGGGAGATTGGGTAACTCCACCCAAGATAGACCCCAAACTACGCAGCAATTCAGCAGCAATTCAGGGGTCTGACAGGAAGAGAGACGCCATTGTAAAGTAAAACACATCTGGGAATTGCAAAATAAAATCTGTCAGTTGCAAGGAAAAACAGTCAGCTATGCCCTGATTGGAATCATACAGGGTGCAGGCTGAAGGGACTCGGACATAAGCAATAAATAAAAGATTTCAGTAAACCTTATACATTATAGGACTTTAAAAAGATATAAATCAGATAAAAATATAGATCCTCTTTGAGCCTAAAAAAACAATGAGGGACAGAACAGAAAATGGCAGCTTATCACTCTCCCTTTAAAAAAAAATATTGAACAAACTTCACAGAAAGCTCTCAGAGAAAAACCTCTCACTGCCTCACCAATACCTATATAAACTGTCCCACAGCCTTTAGATTTAATACCCCTTATATTTGTAACAGCCATACTCTATCTTTTCTGGCTTAAGAGCATGTTGTACAGGCTGGTCATGAACTTTGGCTTTACTTTAGCAGCGCTGGCTGTTTTTTACTTTTTTCATTTGATTAAAAAGATTTTTTTATAATCGCCCCCAGTCAAATGTGGGACATTGTTTCAATTTGTCGGGCACAGAGACCAAAGCAAAAAAAATAAAATAAAATGCACAGATCAGGATCTGCTACTCTATGCAAAGCAGGAGCCTCTCTATTCAAATTACAGTCAGTGTGACAATGAAAAAAATCGCATCGTAGATTTGAAAAGTCGAAGTTAAACTGGTGTGACCGGGGATTTGCATAAGGATTGTGGTTTAATATTTTATTTTCACATTAAAATAGTCTGTGATCTATGAAATTGAACTGTTAAAAAAGAACCTGCATAACCTTTTTGTGATACAGCTGATGAAATTAGCAACAGTACCCCATCATCAGTGGGAAAAAAATGATTCCTCAGCAACCAGAATCCACACTCTGGATCAGACCAGGACCCCCATAATAAATACTTCTCTATACGATTCAAGTACAATAAGAACAAAAACATAAAATGTGAAAAGCTTGATTGACTAATTCATAAGTATTAAAATTATTACATAACTTAAAAGTTTATTTATTTGAATTGGTGAAGCATATCAGACATGTATCTGTCCAAGTTTACTGATCTTTTTCTCTGTGCTGCTGATGCTACTCTAAAACCTGACCATGTTGAATGTCCTGAGGCTCCTGCAATCAATACCGTGCTAAAAATACAGATACGCTGGGTTTATCTGTATAACATGGACAGAAACATTTACCCATCCCTTGTTATACTCTGATCGATGCAGAGCTACAGTGAGGTACTGGTGCCTTTCTCCAGCTGTCATTTTGAGAAAGCTTCAGCACAAAGAGAACTAGCCTATAAAACAGTGACACCATACTAAACATCATCAGTTAATAGTTAAACCTTTGAAAAACAAGTAATGGAATGTATCCCTGACCTGTGGTTTAACTGTCAGTTAGAGCTAACCGTTTAGCTGTTAATTACCAATGATTTGTTGGCTGTGAGGCAAATCTCAGCCAGCTTATGTTTACTTGAAGGAAAAGGTTTCAGAGTAATGGTAGCTTGTTTTATTTACATTAAAATAGTAGTTTAAATGAAAAAGATTATTAAATATTCCACCAAATAAATGTTTATTTAATAAATAAAACACAAAACATATTTAGAAATAAAGTTTTAGCTTATTTAGTAATTTCTTTGTTTACTTTAACATTTATTTATTATAGATGGATGGATGGATGGATGGATGGATGGATGGATGGATGGATGGATGGATGGATGGATATTAGATAGATAGATAGATAGATAGATAGATAGATAGATAGATAGATAGATGGATGGATATTAGATAGATATTAGATAGATAGATAGATATTAGATAGATAGATAGATAGATAGATAGATAGATATTAGATAGATAGATATTAGATAGATAGAGAGTTAGGCAAAAAGTTATCGGTATCCCTCAAACTCAGGCTTTTTGAAATATTGGTAATTGGCTTATATTTCAGAAATCTCAGAACCTCTTAAATAAACAGATTCTGATCCCTGGACAGTTGTTGAGTCTAAGTCGAATATAATTACTAGCTGATCCTTTAACTTCAAATAGCTTTACTTGGAGTTTTTTTATGCCTACAATCCTGCCTGATGGGTTTTTGGTCAGCCCTTCTCAGTACATGTCTTTGACTGCATGTTTTTTTAAATCAGATTTTCTCTCTTTGTTTCCATTCAGACTGTTAAAGTGAAAGGCCCCAAAGAATCCAAAGACTGCACCACAACAAGCTCTATGGAGGGTGAGTTCCAGCACACATCTGCCTCTGTGTTTCAGATAGTCTCCGTCTGTGCTGGGAAAAGAATCCCTCCTGCTTGCGTATGCAGCGGTGGGCATCAGGACTCAAACTGTAGGATGTGTGAACCTGCTCTCTCTCTCTCTTCCTCTCATACACACTCACTCTCTCGCTCTCCGGCTGCCTGAGAAGAGAGGCGGTGAGCTGGAGAGTAGAGGCAGGAGAGGAGAAGAGGGATATGGAGGTTCTGCTGGTGCTCAGACTCTGTTGTAACTGCACATACGGTAAATAAATGCATGAAATGAGCTGCTGTTGGACAAAGAGGACTTTTATTTTTCTTATCTTTTGTCTTGTATCTCTGGGATTCTGTAGTTAATTGGTGAAGTAGGAGCTGAGCAGATGATTAACCATCTATTTTTGGAGGTTTACTGGAATTTATCTCATGGTTTGCAGTTATTGGTAACGCTTTCTTTCTGTTTTTAAATAAGACTTCAGAAACGTTTATTACATTATAGTGCATGTGTATTTGAGTGAATGTGCATGTGGTAAATCTGCTAGGTAGGGGTCTTCTGCCTCTACTTGCAGACTTAATGGAGGGTTAGGCCAGGGGTTAGATTTCTATACATTTATCCAGCCGAGGGAACCTGGGTGTGTGATTATTTCATCTATTGTCTAAAGGACATTGCTATGCAGTTTCTGTGCTTTTGGTAGAGAGAATGTTTCCCCCCCAGCAGGGTATATCAGCATCCAGAGGAATCTGTTTTTAATTTCGAGCTTCAGTCCCTTGTTTGCCATTCATATATCAGAGGGACTCTTAACACACCCACATTTTTCAAGTTTTTCCTGCTGCTGGTTTAAATGATAACTGATCTGTTTGATCCTTTTTTGGAAATGTGGCATCTGTGAGAGCAAAGCAATGAAAGTGTGACCTTAGATTTATTTATTTGAATAAAGGCAGTAATGGGAAATTTTAGGGTTTTAAATACTTGTTTTTTGGGTTTAAATTTTTAGTTTAAACTTTGCTGTAAAATAATTTAAACTCATTGGATCTAGTTGGTTACAGGATGAAGAGCCTGTTGTGGTCATGTGTTCTGGTTTTCTTTGCTTTTTGGTTAGAAGCTAGTATTTCTCTGAAAAAAGGGCTTACATCTACTGCAGCATCTGGTACAATGATATCAGGAAGATCTTTGATTTGCATGTTATTTTTTAATTTTTTATTTTGGTATCTGTTATCCAATTTGTCCAACAGAAAAGGTTCTGCTCTAGAAGGTTTGAGATCTAAGAACACAGCACAGATTTCAGAAGAAATCTGTGGAATCAGTTTGTGAAGACGACTGAGGCTGTCATTAGTAAACAGTACCTATCACAGCCGATCAGCTCAGTTTTGTACTCTTTAGTTCTATTTTAAAGAGCTTTGCATTTATTGATACCAGCTCATGCAGATGCAATCTGTACCCAGCTGCTTTAGTTTCTCAGCAGATGAGGTCAGTGAAACTAAAAGCACCACTGATAATCATCTTCAACCTTCACTGGCTGCTTTTCAGAAAAATTTAGACGAAGCTCTAGATTCAGAATCTTTTGATTTCCTCATTTTCTTCCTTCTAATTTTAATATTTCTCATATCCCTGGGAATGTTTTTTATGTGCAGCACACATCCATAGTCTTTATCATTAAGGCGTATACCGTTCTGCAGATATCCGGGATGCTCGCTCCTCTGTTGGCCAGTTTTCTAATGTTTCAACCGCACCCTTTTTTTTTTTATTTGGGAATCCTTTTGTTTGCATTCAGCGTTAACTTAAGCTCAGGATTGGATCTAACCTGCTCTTTGTAGTAAAGAAACTTCTCACAGTCTGCAGAGTGAAATCTGACAGCTCCTCTGTTGCAGTTGTGACCTGAAACTGTGTAGGAGGTGATTTTCAGGATCAGGCTGAGGGGTCCATCACAAATAAAGATCAACAGTTTGCATGTTAATCAAGTTGTCAAGGCGACCTTGGAGACAAGACCTCTCAGAATAACCTCTGTGTCACTGCATCGATTTCCAATAAGCTGCATGAGACGTGCAGATAGGTTCCTATAAAATCACTCAGCTGGGAGCAGGGAGACAGTCAGCATATTGGCTGCAGTCCTCTCACTCTTTTATCTCATTCTTTTATTATTATTATAGATTGCTGTAGGAATTTAAAGCAGATTTGTTATTATTAATCCTGATGTTTCTAATATGTAAATACAATGATGTGCATCAAAGAGAGGTGGAAAAAGTTTCTAAAAGTTCCAAGAAATGAAATGTGTCATCAGTGAAAATAACATTGAATCTAAGCTGGTTTATGTTTAGTTAAAATGGTAATTTATGTGCTTTATGTTAAAATTAATTAATATCCTCACATATTAGAAGGACTGGAAAGTATATGTTACAATGTTAAAAAGAGCCACTAAAGCGTGCTGAAATCCTGTCAGTTAAACAGTTAAAGCTGTAGTTCGAAAGCTTTAGTCAGTGCATGTTTAATCAGATCATCTCTGCAACAATTTTTATTTTGTTTAATTTTTAAATACAGGTTAAAGGCCTAACAAGAGAAAAATTAAACATATAATTAAGGCTAAAACTATTCATTTTATTTATTGTGGTTAAACAATCATTGAAATAAATGTCCACATATTTGGGAATCGAATTATTACCTAGAGAAGTAGCATATAAAAGAAATGTATTTGATAAGAGAATAATCTACTTACAGCATTCATTAAGGAAAAACTCAACAAATATAAACTATAAAAAAATAAATCTAAAGAAAATGTCCTTTAATATTTTAATTGCTTCTATTACATATAAAAATACACGTGTTTGTATCAGAGCTGAAACAATCAGAATAATCATGATTAATTGATTATGGAAATGTCAACGAATTTAGTGATCAATTAATAATTAACTGGTGTATATAGACTCTAAAACATGCCTTTAGCTGACAGAGCAACTCACTTAAAGAAGTAATTATACTAAAATTGTAAAACAATATATAAAAATGTTGCATTTAAGATAAGAGAAATGTCAACCTGCTCTATCCAGAACTCCTCAATTGTAAAAGGTTTAGTTTCACCTGGTTTAATTATGTAAGAAATCTTTTTCAAGGAAACGTTTGCTATCCAATTATTAATCAATTAATCCAAAAAATAATCAACATATTACTTATTTAGCAAAATTATCATTATTTGCAGCCCTATATATATATATATATATATATATATATATATATAGAAATACAAAGATATTTTTAGTAAATTAACATTCTAAATAAACAAACATTTAGAATAAAGAAAAAATTGCCAATAATAAAACATATACACATATATGTATATGTTTTATGATTGGCCATTTTTTTTCTTGGTAGGTGCAGACCTACTTGTAAATTAATCTGTTGATTTTAGCATTTAGTTCAGATAACCATGGCTCCTGTTTCCAACCTCAGCCAGCAGACAAACATCCCACAGAACAAACCTATTTCCTGTTTTACACTCTAACCCTAACCCATCAAGGGGGCTAAGGTCATTGGATTCCTGCTGCAGCGCATGTTTTTGCTGTGAATCACAGAGAGATCTTCTCTACCCTGCAGTTTATACAGTGTGCAGTAAACCCTTGAAGGTGGCTGTGTCGGTTCACTGAGCCATGACCGCTGACAGGAGCTGCATTAATGATCACAGGGTGGGGGGACTTCAAAGAGCATCTGCACAGTTTTCTTCCAGCGTCTGATCAGAATAAGGCTGTAGCTGACAGGGCATGTAGTTGTTTCGCTTTCAGCCTTCTGTGCCTCAGAGTAGTAAGGAAAACGGCTTAAAACAGTAGTGAATGTTTCTGCTGTGCTGCTAAGGACACTACTAAGTATCAGATTGAAATAAAGTTTATTTTAATGGGGAAAACTCAATAATGGATAAACCGGATATGTGTTTCTTGTGGAAAAGTAGAGTTTAGACATTGGAAATGAATAACAATGCATTGTACATCAAAGTTAGCTTGTTCTTCACGCCTTAGGGCCTTGTTGGTACCATACCACCCACCAGTTCATCATTTTCCTCTATGCGAGTCTGATTCTACTCCCTCAACATTTCTTTTTACTGGATCTGTGGGCATATTTTACCTCCAGCCGTCACGTATGTCACCTGCTGCTGTTTCACCGCCTTAGCAGCAAAGCAGACCCTAGGGAAACCAGCCAAGTGCAGTGATGAGATGTGTCAGAGCACTTTCTATAGATGCATTGATGGTGTGTGTTCAGATTAGCTAAAGATAGCTGTTCTATAACCAAATCAGAGCACAAATCTAGGAAGAACCGATCAATGAAATAGATCTTTTAACCTTCAGACGGAAAATAGGATCAGCAGCGTCATTAGAGAAAGATTCAGACTCGAAGTTGAGCTGAGAATCATCTTTTGTTAGTTTCCCTTGTTACCGCTACAGAGTATCGTCATCTGCGTAGGTGTATTTATTTTTGTTTTAACTCTGGGACTGGGACCTACTGCACTGACTCACTCTCTCCCTCTTCTTTCCCCCACAGCTCTGCTTTACAAGCCCATTGACCGTGTTACCAGAAGCACCCTGGTCCTCCATGTGAGTTCACACCCACAGCTTCAAGGAACAGCCCTCCTAAACCAGGAACTGTGAGGGGGATTAGAACAATATTAGGCTGGTTCTACCTCAACTTCTTTTCAGTGTCTTGCAAAAATTCTCATTTTATCAGGTTAATTCACTCCAGACTCAGCCATCCATCTCTGTATGGAACTAGCTTAAAGGGACAGGAAGGGACTAGCTCCAAAGTGTCCCCACAAAGCTGGGTGGCATTGTCCAAAATGTCTTGGTTCCTTTCAGGGGTCAAGCCCGGCTCCTAAAAATAAACCCACACCATAATCCCTCCTCCACCAAGCTTTACACCGAGTACAAAGCAGTGAAGTACCTTAACCTAGTAACCACCAAACCATTGCTCGTTCGTCAGATTTCAGCTTGAGAAGCACTTTTTATCACTTTAGAGAAAGCGTCCCCACTGCTCAGGAGTCCAGTACATCACTGCATCTAATGCTTTGGATTGACCTTGGTGATTTATGGCTTGGATGCAGCTGCTGGACCACGGAAACCTATTCCTTGAAGCTCAGTTCGAGAGCTAATCTACCGTATTTTCACGACCATAAGGCGCACCGTACTAAAAGGCGCACTCTCAGTTATGTGTGCAATTACTGTATTTAACACATACATAAGGCGCACCGGACTATAGGGCGCACTCTCAGTTATGTGTGCA